TGAGAGCACGAGTTAGGACTTTGCGAGAACGGGAGTTCTTGGCTGTGTATTACGCTAGGGCGGGGTATGAGGCGTTCACTGGCTTTGAAGTGGGGTGGAGTGGTAAGCTGAGAATAGGGGGGAGGAGGGATGGTGATGAGGAGACAAGGAGAGGTAGTGTTGGTGGTGGACCTGTTTTGAATCTTAGTCGGGGGAACCTAAGATATTCTGAGGTTGTTTTTTTTTCAGAGTCGCGTTTGAAGAGCCTGGATGAGACAACTCGAAGACGGCAGATGGTACGCGTACTGTTATAATTATTATATATATTATATTTAATATTTTCATTATTGGAGTTTCACCATCCGTTTTACGTGAAGTGGCGTAGTAATACTCTGTGAAAACCTGATAGTCGCGGTGATATGCAGTAGTCGTGAAATATATTTTTTACTAGTGTTTTTCATATCACTAGGATGGTGACACTCCATTGATATTAATACTTGGGCAACTCCGCTCCATCTGCCACCTCCCTGTCGTAGGTTGGATATTCGAGCACACCTCAACTTCATAATGTTGCTGGATTTTATGCAACCGTTCCTACTCAGAGGACTCCGAATCGATCAGGCTTCCTTCGGTGAGTTGGTGTTGTTGTTGGTTGATAAGTGTTATTTCATTTTATTGTTTCAGCACACCCCTGAGGAGATCGACGGCGATTTCTGCAGCTGAACATCAGCACATGTATGAATTGTCGTTTTCGGTGGATAAGAGCTATCTATTGACGGGCTCAACTGTGAATACACTGCCTAGGTTGGGCGCATTTACCAGTGGGAAGAATTCTTCTTGAGATTATCCATGTTAAGCACGGTGTTCACTTCGTCGGGTTTTGCGTTGGGAGTTGAATTTGTATTTTACGCTTTTGGCGACTCGAGCTCTTTCCTCAATGGTTGCGGACGAGAGTGTGGAATTTTAGTGCTTGATACAAAATCCAAGGGAGTCCGCTGCTGCGTGGATCAGCTTGTAGAGTGCGCCGAAGTCGTGTGAAAACGTGTCGTATATAATATATTTCTATAGCATATACTTAGAGTTTCACCAGTGATATGAAAAACATATTTCGCAATTCACCCGTTATCGGCGGTCGCGGAAACATAAACGTTTTATAATTTACATGAAGTATTACTCTACTTCTAAACCGGGTCATCGTGAAACACCAATGTCACACAATGCCAACTATATATCTTATATGATAGTAATAGTTGGCATATATTTATGATGGTAATTTGGAAAAACCCATGTTGACAATATTTAGTAATATGGATTTCAGCTCCTTATTACAGGCCTCGAATTCACCAGAAATTATCTACAGCATCTATTATAGTATAGTCCTACGGGCCGGTCGAAACCACACGAATTCGTTATTCGAAAAAAAAATTCCACCGAAGCGTGTTGAGTATTTTTGTTAGAAACGTATCCTTCATAGTGAGTAACGTGAATATGTCAACAACAACAACAGGGGAGAAATGCCTGCTGAGATATGTGTGTCGAAGTATAGAGTTCCTCACGTTCTTGACCGAGGTAGTAGTGGTATTATGATGTGAAAATGCGTCGCTCCGCTCAGGAGGATTTCGGAAGGCTCATGCAAGTGTGTCGGTCATGTCGACTTGAAGACGGCTCGGTTGAGGAAAAGTGGTTTAGGGCTTTCCACGTGCAGAGGAGGCTATTTGGCATGAAGAATACAACTATGGTGAGTGGGATGAATATGATGATTACCATCGTGTAAGTGTGTGAGTTTGAAGTCCAACATCAACGACAACACGGCTTAGTCGTATCGACGTACGTTAGCTCACGCGAGATTGGTTTTAGTCTACTAAATTGACTTTCATCAAGAGTGAGAGAACTCTCCTCTTTATACCGTAACATTGCATGTTAAGTCGACAAGAGATGTGAAGGGAAATATCTGGCCACATGTAGCAAACTGATGAAGTCTCTAGTGCAGTTAGTGTAAAATGAGATTAAATTTCGGATGTGTAAATGCTCGCTTTCCTCAGCAGCTGAGCTAAGGTATTTTCACAATAATTATAAAAGTTTGCATACAACTTGCGATAGAAGTGTTTTAAAACCAATATGAAATTCCCAAAATTTTGGTATTATCACCGACATATTTGTTTGACCATGTTCATCTACACTGTATGTAGATGGAATAATTCATTTAAAAATATATGAATGGGAAATAGCAAATGAGTGTTTTCTATTCCGGGACTAATGATAGTAAACAAGTTGCTGCTATCATAGTCTCGAAAGGCTACTTTTATCACATCACTTGTTCATAGCAATGTTAACACTATTTATACGATATAGTTTTAAATTGATTCTCACTAATTTCGCAAAATTTTCATATCAACACACTGTATTGGAGTTTCACCACCCGTTTTACGCGAAGTGGCGTAAAACTAGGTGAAAAACGCGATATTCGCGGTGATAGTCTTGAAATATGTTTTGCACCAGTGTTTTTCATATCACTAGGGTGATGAAACTCGATTGTTGTATCTTGCAATCTTGCATTTCCTCAACGCCTTAGGTAATACAACCTCCACCCGGCCTCACTCTCAAGGAGCTCTCCATTATAGCGACTAAGTTGCCCTTATCGTTTGATGCGAAACGTCAAGCACGACGAGGTGGCGAGGACGTTGATTTCACCGAGGATGGTATGTTGAGGTCTCCTGCTGAGAATAGTGATGTTGCTAGTCGTGAAATCTTACCCTCCCTCGGGCGTAGATGTTGTAGATTTGAAATAATAAACTCTGTAATTGTTAGTGAATCTGGCGTGGAAAAAAGGCATCATAGTTTCGAAGGCATACAGTTTACAACACCCTCGGATGAGAATAATGATGTTGTTATGGTTAAATGATGATGGTAATTATATATTGTAACACCCTAACACCAAATAGAATATAAATATGATCGGTTGATGTAGTATAAATATAAGAATAGGCAATACATTTATTACTAATAATATTACCGTTATTGTCTAGATCGAGTGGTGAGGTGTTTGCGTGTCGGTGGTGACCGTTGTGTTACAGCTGATGCCCCGCTAGCAACACCACTACAGCCACAGTTGAGGGATGGGGTAAGGGGGGATCTTTATGGGAGAAAATTACCTTTCTGAAAAACTGTACTTTTCGGATTTTCTTCCCGATTAGTTCGGGACGATTTTTTTTATTTCGTTTTTACATATTCCCGGCCTTACTATGTGAAATGTGGATTGCAAATTTGACGAGTTATGGAAGCTGTTGAGTGAATAAAGCCGTTCTATTTCATGAAATGAGAATCACTTCGCTCCGCTCATTGAGCTTGCGTACGAATGTAGTTAAGTTTTCACAAGAATCTATAAGGCTTTCATGTTGGGAGGAATATTCGTTTTGGAATTCACTCGACAATGTGAAAGTAAAATTGATTCGATATGCTATGGACTTTGTTTTCAAAATTAATTGAAATTTTTCCTCAAATTGAACACGCTGTATTCGAACGATATAACTAGGTTAGTAGTGTTCATGAACAAATTCTGATACCGATATCAGTTGGAATTGGGGAGTTGAGTCGATCATGTGTTACCCTTCCTCTTCGTTGGGAGAATTCGATGATTTCGGGGTCTTCTGCGTGTTCTCATCGGTTATAAAGCTTACACTCAATGAGATGAAGCGCAGTTGGTAACAATTTGACAATACATTATCATTTTTGGTGGTTTACAAGCATGTTGTTGTTGTTGTTGTCGCTGAACCTTTCTTACCATTATTCAAGTACGACGTATAACTATGTGACGCAAGAGTTAAGTTTTCATATAAGGAAAGTAACCACCGATTCACCTTGTGTATGAGCCAACCAACCAAACACATTGAACTCCTGCCCTCATACGTAGGTTCTGGTGGTATCCCCAGTATCATATTATGAAGTAACGATACGCCCATCTGAGCGACCACGTTGGACTAACGCATCTGTGAAGCAATGTGTTAGTGTTGGTGTATGTTTGAGAAGCTGGAAGCAGCGTTCAGGAGGGCAGCAAGCTGGCTGGTGCAGGTGGGCTTAGGGGGAAGAGGTGGCTTGCCAAAACGCCATTTGAAGTAGAACATGAAGTTTGTAGCAGCAGGCTCGAAGCGATCGCCGTCGTGGTTCGAGTGTTAGCTTAAAATTGATTGTGAAAGTAGAATTTATATTTCCCCAACTAGATGATATAGATTCTAAGTTGAAGTAGCCGCTCAAAGAGCAGCCGCCGAATTTTCCTTGAGAAGATCTCTGTGAATAGTGGTTCGATGGCCGATAGTGGGCATCGAAGTAATAATACTATTAACGAAAAAAAGTTTTTATGTGATCGAGAAACTAAAGCATTAACATCGCAACACAGAGAAGGAGCATCGTCGATTGATATTACTCTGAGTCCACTTGCAATATGCTAAGTTGCTATCACCTCGATGGGTAAATGGAAAGGGAATAATTACTATATATAATCTGAATATTGATGGAGTTTCACCCGTTTTACGTGAAGTGGCGTAATACCCGGTGAAAAACGCGATATTCGCACTATGTAGTAGTCGTAGAATATATTTTCCACTAGTGTTTTTCATATCACTAGGGTGAAACTCCAATGATAAAGTATTATAACCTTATTCATATGCACTGCCCTGTTTCGGGAGGGGGGGGGGGGAATATGTTGCAACAACAGTCCTCCGGCACGGGCGTTTTTGTAGTAATCGAGTAAAGCCTGTGTATGTGTTACAGAAGTGTCACTATTTTTACTAGATACAGCTGGGGTCTTCATGGTGATGATGGTAACCTCTTTCACGGTAGTGGCATGCATCATGCTGGTGACGCATTCAGTCGGCCCTTTGGGGCTGGTGACACTATTGGTGAGTGAACACTCGACCCCTTCCTAATGCTACTGTCGTTGTTGTAGGATGTGGAGTGGACTACCGTAACAATACCATTTTCTATACCCTCAACGGGCAACTACTTGGTGATGCATTCTCCTTGCATAGTGTCCCGTTCAGGAGGAGGATGATTCCGATGGTCGGGTTGGATACGGAGTGGTATGTGGAAATCAATCTAGGACAGGAAAACTTCATGTATCGTGGGTTGCCTACTTCTACTGCAACGACACTAGCTGAGCTTGCTGATTATGCGATTAATAAGGGGTGGGTGAGAACGTCTCCGCCGGTGAGGGGTGATGAAAGAATTACTATACGGGGAAGCATCATACGCCGACTGATGCGTGTCACTGGGAGGGAAGATAAAGCGGTCGCATGCACGTTGCAACCGTTGACATCGCAGTTCAGCTCGGATGGCAACGAGAGCGAGAGTTGGTCGGAAGTTATAGAAATGCGTGATGACATTTTTGAGGATGATGTTACTAGTGATGATGATTTATTAAACGATTCTGATTTTGTGGTTGAAGGAATTGATGACGAGTTTGACGACATAGATGAGTTGGAGTACTTTGATATTAATCCTGAGGAGAATCTCGTTGAAACTGTACTTGACACAGACTTGGTGGATTTCGAATTGATACATAACACCCAGTGGGAAGACACGAATATGGTATATGAGAATGCCTCTGTAGATGAGGAACCTCTTGTCATCGAAGATAGCGATTCAGATTACTATGATATTGTGCGCTCTTTTAGAGAGGGAGGGTCTGGGGACTTTTATGGGTCTCGAGCGCTACCTGCCGATTCTGAATGAGGATCTTTATGCAACTTTTACGTGTACTATTGAATTGTCGATGAAGCATTGAAGTGATTAATATTTTGAGAGTGAAAAAGTTGCATATTTCTGTTGAAGATTTAACACACGTCGTCTTTACTTCAAATCGTTTCCAACGTCTTTTCCAAGCCTTGGGAGTAGCGTTTAGAAATTTAATAGAATTCTTCTATGCAATGCAACTAGAAAAATACATGGTGAAAGTGAAGTAGAGATATACGATATTCTGCTGGCGGTTTGCCCAGTGTTGGAGGAATATATATTCGCTTCCTCAGCTGAGCTCAGGAGTTTCCTCACCAATTAGGAGAAGTTTACACTCGAATTTGGATAGAAACCGACAAGAATTTCTGAAAGTTTTCTCAGAGTTTTCCTTATCGTCACCATCACATGTTTGTCGACTGTGTTCGTATTTTCCCATAGTGATCAACATTGTATAATACCGCAGTTTCTCGACAAAGTTTGGTTTCGAAGCTGCTTTCCTTTCTTTGCAACCTGGGTATGCTATATCGAACCTAGTTAGAATGACAATGATTATATGCTCTTGAATGGTAGTTGAAAAAATGCAATTTTATTTTCCAATTTTTCCTTATATTTGGTACCGAAAATATGTAAACGTAGACCGGCAAGTCAATACTCAATAACGCTACCGCTTCCTCCTCATGATTTTCCTCAATGGGAATTTCCCAGAAATGATGGTATGATGAAAACGATAATCATCAACCCTGCTCTTGGATTATTCCACCACTCCAACATCACCACAACCATCTCGTCGTCGTCGTCGTCCAAAATAAAACCTAGTGAGGAGCTAGTGCTGGTGCTGCTGCTAGCCTTGCTAGTGCCTCAGGCCTTGAGGACTCGATACGGGTAGCAATCCCCGACCAGGGTGGTATAGCCCAGCAAATGTGTCTGGATTTCCTCTATGGAGCAGAGAATACTCCGGCAGAGTCTCATCGAGGCCCCTATGTTGTTGGTCGGCTGAGGGGTGGTATGAGTCGTCAAGATGCTGGTATGGCAATGAGGGGGACGGTCGTTGAATCTGTTGTGAAATATCAGTTAGTGGGATAGGACGGGAGATATCCTGGCTTTGATCCAGAAGGTCAGTTATTGTATGAATACGCCATGTTATGGTATGAATATTATTGGTTTTCGTCGTGTACAGCAGCGATCTTTACTCCCAATACACAATCATTAGTAATATTTATATGCTCTTGCCTCATGTATTGCTATCAACTCATTGGTATATAATTATCCGTTGAGAAGAACACTGCAGTAGTTGCTTGTTGGTATTGGACAACTCAGTCGTTAACAAGTGGTCTTCAACTATACAGTAATTATGGAGCATATGTTAGGCTAGTGATGGTATCATAGGAATAAGGACATACACTTCCTCCCACAGGTACCGGTGCCTTCCCAGACCACCTTCAGAGAGGCAACCTGGTCATGGATTCTAATAGGAGTTGGCAAGTGAGATGCTGCCGAAATAGAAACACATGCTTGTCGTTGTTGTTTCTGCGCTTTTCGAACTGGAGCACAATTTGGGAAAATATGCTCATGGTCAACTATATGTGTTGGTGACAATATGGAAATTCTAGGAGGAAATTTTGGGAAATTCTTTATGTTTTCCGTACCCGGAATTGTGAATTAGTGAGGAAGCTCTTGAGCTTAGCTGAGGAAAGCGAATATATATTCCTACTCCAACACCAGTCTAGTAGGTCAGCCTTCGTTGGTGGTTGATGATGTATACCACCTTCACAGAAGGCCTTGAGGAAGGCCTACAGCTCAACGTGACCCCAGCATCAGCAGTGACGTTATCACTATACCACTACTGTCAGGTGGTTTACTACATGAAAGAAGATTTGCTGCTGAGCCCGGCGACGTCGGCTCTCGTATGGGGTATTAGTCGAATTCCCTGGATATTGAAACCGATATTAGCGTCAGTAAACTCGTGATTTTATTGCAGCATAAAATAAGCATAAATATTGTGTCGTATAGTGAGAAGTCCTCACCTAGAAAAGCAAGTGGATGAACAATTTGTAGAGTATATAGTCATTTAGTGACATACAGGAGAAGATGAGGATAATAGCAGCCCGGATTGGAATATGGTTGTTGCGATGCGAATCACATTGAATGACAATACGAGTGAACCATACCTAAGAGGAGCCTTATATGCTCTATGACTAGCATCTGACGAATATGAGGAGTCTAGGTTTTTAATGCTACCAGATTTATATCATCTGTTCATGTGGATTCCTATATCGCTATAATGATAGCTCCAATTCTCGTTGGAATGGCCATCAATTATTGCACGAGTTGTAAGTCTTTGAAAATTTCAATTTAATGTTAGACGTTTCAGACTTTAGCAGTACGTAGTCGTGTCCGTGATGAAATGTATTATCACGGGTAGCATCTTGGTCAAATGAGGTGTTCACTTTTTTAATGCTACCAGGTTTAGATCATTCCATTCTGTGGAGTTAACTGTCTCACCTATGTATATATTAGTTTTATATATTCTTTCATCGATAGATGCCACCCATTGCTCTTGCAATCTCGTGCTGCATCTAGGTGTATTAGTTGTCTCTCCTCATTTATATTCAATCAATACATATACATAATATTACGATTACCATTATAACAATATCATACTCTATATGGTGAAATTGATATATGAATACCCCCTGTCCCTAGTCCTCCGGGCATTCTCGAAACAGGTTCACATCCGATTCTATTCCGATCCTGGGGTACCGTCGCAAGCCATATCTCATCGGCTCGGCAGCTGTCCACGTTTGTAAGGGGTTGAGCAACTTCGAATGAGTATTGCCCTCGTCAGTGTCGCTCGCCCTGCTGAGCGCCTGCCACACTCCTCATAGTATTCTATTACCACTACTTTGTTTGAGTATAAGATCGACAGTACGGGCCTGGACAGCTGCTATCAGCCAGGCGATTTTGGTGATGTTCTGGCGTGCAGTGATGTAGTTAATCAACTTGCAGGTTGAAGACCACCAGGGGAGTGGGAGAGAAGCTATCAATAACATCGTCGCGGACTTCTTCTGGGTTCGCGCTGTTGGTATAGTTATATCGAGTTATGGCACAGGCCTTTTACTGGAAATATTCCGACCACACGTGTGAGACTGTATTGCAATGTGATTGTCTCTATTTTGTATATTGTGATGAGCTCTCTATGAATCATCCAAATGCCGAGTCTTGGTGATAGAAACATATCATTAGTAACAATATTATGAGTGCAAGTTGATAAGCTGAGAACAATGGAGTTTCACCCATTTTACGTGAAGTGGCGTAAAACTGGGTGAAAAACGCGATATTTGCGGTGATATGCAGCAGTCGTGCAATATATTTCCCACTAGTGTTTTTCATATCAGTAGGGTGAAAGTCTAATATTATCAATGCATCGGTCATTTCATCATCACTACTCATATCTTGGCATGGCATAGTAGCTAGGCTAGAGCTCAGTACAGCTGTAAGAAAGGACGGTTGTCGGTGGAAAAGGAGGATCTAAACATTGGAGTTCCAAAAACCCTAGTGATATGATAAACACTAGTGAAAAACATATTTTATGACAACTGCATATCAACGCGAATATCGCCACTCCACGTAAAACGGGTGAAACTCCATTGTTTAGTAAGCATAGGGCAATACACTCATGAAACCACACGGCGTGCAAATCCGAAGTCATTCTTTCTCTTGCCAGAGTCTTCGTACTGTTCTCCATCTTTCCCGCTACGACCTGCGTCACCACCTGGTTGATGCATGAGGATCGGGTCCACGTCGGGACGGCAGGTGATCTTAAATAGTTATGCATATCTAGATCTTCGAGATGGCTTTTATCAATTTGCGAGTAATACGACTATCGACTAAGAAACGCTTCTAAAATGTTGGTGTCAATCGATTCACATTTTTATTATGTATTTTGCATATCGGTTTGGTTTACATTGTATATTCTCTCAATTTGAAAAGGTGTGGAAAGAGGTCAAGCACTGGGGACGGAAGACACCCCGTCGCTTGGCTATCATTTAAGGAAGCAATACAACGAGATAACAGCTGCTCTGGTGAGCTTCTCATACCACAATTTTATCAAATCATGGTCCGAAATATTCAGGGAACCAACAGTACACTTACTGCAAGTCTCGTGTACTTCTTTTTTTACATATCCGGCCCGAATTACGACCAAGCCCTCTACTATTACTATATTGATAAACTCGGCTTCACCCCAGAGGTCATGGGGCAGGTCCAAGTGTTCAAGGGCACGGCTCGGCTCACGGGTTAGGGACACGTTCGGGCTCATTTCGACGGACTGGTCTCTGCCAGGTCCGTTGCTTTATAAATTTTTCCTCTCTCGCGTGGCCTTCAAAACTTTGGTGCAAAACTTGACAATAGTCAGCTTGCCGCTGTAAGTGGGGGACGCGCTTAGTATTACCGATACGGTATGCGACGCCGTATGTTAAAAACCTCTGAAACCCGTCGGAGATCACCCGCCCGCATAAAACGCGGAATTTTTGTGGGGCTGGTTTCGACTTGAACTACCTCTAGTTTCGAAGTGATGTAAGATACCGAGGATATCTAAATAATAATTAACCTATTTCAGCCTATTGTCCAGTAGTACCTTCTGTGTGCGTTATTCATATCTTTCATTGTATCCTTCGCTCGCCATTGGATACTTGTAACCGCCACGAAGCATGCTGGACAATCCCAAGATAGATTTGGGAGTATTATACTCATCATTCCCTAATCGACTGGTATTGAGTTGGTCTACTTCGACACCGGTGAATCTAACATGGTAACAGCTGTAGAACTGAACTCCTCCATCAACGCCGCCTCTACTCGAGAAGATCTTTCCCGGCTACGGTCAACGGCACGTCGTCTTCGGACCAACAATTGTAAAAAGCGCACCGAAATTCAGGAGCGTTTGGCTGACAACGACATTGATGACAACAAGTTGGCGCTATTGGAGACTGAGGAAGCTACGTTAGAAGCAGAGATCATCGCACTCTCTGGCGCCGCTGACAATGCTTCCAGCAAGATCAATGCGTTAATGCGAGAGACCTGCATGGTGAACTCGGCCACTCTATCAGCGGACGACTCCAACAACAACGCCACCGCAACGCCAACCTCTGCTGAGTCAGTTTCTGGTCTAGTCAGAGCCCTATCTTCGGCACTCAGTCGTCGGCCTTACGACTCAAGAACCAAACGAGCCGATATTAATCGTCTCCCTATGCAGGGTCGAAGTCTTATCGATCCCTACCAGCTTCCAGCCCACTTCAGACGATTGGAGAAATGGTTTGCCAGCAACGAGTTTGGTACTTTTGACGACTCGACTAAGGCCTTCGTTGCCGATAAGGAGGTGGAAGCTCAGTTGGTTGAGAAGGCTATAGAGAGTCTCTCCTCTCATCGTAATGTCGCCTCTGAGGCGAACACTTTGGTTGATACCTATGGTGCTACTTGGAACCATCTCAAGAACACGCTCATCGACAAGTTTGCAAAGCCCGAAGACATCCGTCGTGAGCTCAACCGTAAGATATCCCAGCTCACATACAAGGGCCACTCTAATGTCGATGGGTTCATTTCTGAGTTGCGTCAGATCCACACATTGGCGTCTACCGTCAACTCCTCGCCTGAGGACAGTGTTTACTTCATCGACGACATTCTTCGGTGTCTCCCACCTAATGTCCACTCACAACTAGTTCAAGAAATTAATCAAACGGCCAGGATATGTCGACACAACAGCTCCTCGACTTCGAGTCCTACCACTAAACCATGGCAGCTCAAGCTACCCCTAGATGCTCCGTCCGATCAGCACTCTATTTTTGGTATTCTCTCGGACGTGGCACAGTCCCTCTTGGCGTCGACTGACTTTCGAAAGGTGCCACCTGAATCTAACCGTGGCTCTCGTCGAGAGGACATGGGAGACAAGATCTCCAAAGTTAGCGACTCTACTACCAACAGTACCAGAGCACCACCTAGTGCGATAACTGAAGCTCGTCGCCAACACAAGGAGGCCAATGACTGGGCGCGGAAACAGAATTTTGTCATCATCGTCATGGGGAAGGCTCTACGTTCATCCACTCCTACCGACCCAGGTTTCAACAACGCCTCTGACGTGCGATTTCTGGTTTCCCGCCAAGGGAAGCGGTACGGCCTGGTCGCGTTTGACTCCAAAGCGGACGCTGAGAAAGTCATAGCCGAATACTTTTCGAACAAGGACTCATTCACTCTGGTCAAGCCATATGACCCTGACTTCAAGTCAAAAAACGACTCCGGGCGTCGCAGTCAGTAGGCGACTGTCGATTGCCCGTATTATCTATGCCTACTTCTACTGCTCCCTCAGCTAACGCTGTGGGAGCAAACTCTTCCGACCATCTATCACACGATTTGATCGACGACTATGTTGCTGCCGTCGACGAAGGTCGTCATCATCCTGAGATATCTTTCGGCTTATCGCTCTCTCAACCTCACCGTTCAGAGACCAACCATACTTCTGAACTTTTCGAGTTTCGAGGCTCGATCTCGAATCGATTCGGTCCCAGAGGTTATACAATCGATTGGTCCAATATCGATACCGGTAACCGAGAATCGATCTCGAATCGATTCTTTCGATTTAGGGGCGCCGGTTCGATCCAAGGCTCCGGCATTTTTATGTATTTTCTATTTCGAAAAGTTGCGCACAATGGAACCACTGAAACCCGGCACCTGCTCATCCGCGCCCCTAGATTCGTCGCCCCTAAGGTACTCAATCCGCCCCTAAATTGCCCAATCCGCCCCTAAATGACTCGTACCGGCCCCTAACTTTTCAAGCTACCCGAGCGTCCCTGAAGCTTCACTGCAAGCATGTCACGTGGCTTTGTTGACTGCCATGACATCTTGAGGAAAACTCATGTGCATCACGCTTGACCCTGGCCGTCTGAAAGATACATGTTCGAACTTGACCAGCCACTGGCTTGAACGTTTCGAAACCTTGGCCGACGCAATGATCAATCTAGTTTCGCATCGTTGTGTTGAGCCGTGCTATCTACTGATCTTGGCCGGCGGCCAATGGCCGCCCTGAACACGTACTGAGCGTACTGAACTCCACCACGTAACTACATTTATTAGCTAAGCACACTGGTATGGGTCACTGAGACAGAAACTGTGCCATGTATGTCAGTCTCAGAGAAGCTGTAACGATAGCGGATGACTCATCCAACTTTAGAACGCATGTGGCATATTTAGGGGCGGATTGAGTAATTTAGGGGCGGGGCGAAGAATCCGGATTTTTGAACCTATGCTATATGCGATAACTATTAGAGTTATTAGGCTACTTAGTAGCCGCTACTAGGGATATTGAATTTGCGGTGTGGATTATGCTCAGAAATAGTATTTGGATAATCTTCTTCTGAATTACCGAAGAACAATCTCGAGGGTTCGTCGAGGCTCGAGGCAAACGCGCAATCTGACCGAACCCGGGGAATACCATCCTTCCGACCCGGGGAATCGGCATCTGCAGAATATCTGGCTGTCGCCGCAATTGGCAGCGTGCCACAGCAAAGCGATTCGCCTCGGGCGAACAGCAAGGTCGTGCGCGGATATTCAGTATCTCGCTGATGGAGTCTATCCGAGTCAGATAATCAGACAGCCTCCCAGTGCCTGTGGCTATCAACTGAGCGGTCTAGCCTCGACCCTTACTTTTTCTTCTCGTGGAAGTGCTTTGCTAAAGGCATCCTGAATTGTTGCAATAATATGACAGGTGCTGTAGACCCTATAAGTAACCCTCAATGCTGACGTAGAAGAGCATTTCAATGAATTTCGAGTTTCGAGGTGGATCGATTCCTCGAATCGAATCGATTCGTCTGCCCGCCGCAGCATCCTCGATTGATTAGCACCGAACAATCGATCGATTTTCGATATCTCGATCCAATCGAGCCTCGGTCCGATGTATGAGACCAACGCTGACCTACGAATCCGAGGAGTGCTCGATACCGGTGCTACCAGCTCGTATATCGTGGTGCCAGAGTCGTTCATACTGGCATTTCAGACAGATCCTCTCCATCAGCCAGTTGCAGTGACCCTAGCTAACGGAAGTCAGGTCAACATCAACACAAGTATTCCCTGCTCAATCATGGTTCGGGATATACGCTCTGGTGAGTACTTCAATGCTGGCCATCATACTCTCCGTGTGTTAAACTGCCGTGAGCGACTTCATCGGCCCTATTGTCTCATTGGTAGAGATTTGATCAAGGCTTGGTGTCTCGTATGCGTTGGCCTCGACTCCGTTACCCTGTCTGGTCGTTTGGTATATGAGGCTACTCCTGTATCGACACAACTACCGGCTGCGCCCTCCCTCGCTACCATCTATCTGGTGGACGACACTGACCCGAAGTCATTGGTATCGCTACCCCCGGTGGTAGCTCCCCCTGATCCTCCTACTCAACTATGTAATCAAGACAAAAAACTCGCTCTCGATATTCTCCAAGCACTGGTTGCCAAAGGATGGCGTGATCTTCCTCTGTCGAGGGGTTATCGCTGTCGTATCCGAGAACTGTGCCCGGTCGAGCACCTAGACTCTCCACATCAAACACATGTTGGTGAACTGTTTTTACCCGCGTCAACTCTATCGACAAGGCCATCACTCAGGAACTTCGCCACTCCTCTCTTCAAGCGACTGTCTCCTGACCTCAAGGTCGCCTATAACTCGATGATAGAAGACTACGTCACCAAGAAGTGGTGGGTATCGGCTCCAGCGACTACGACTGTCAGCCCCACCCCAGCTGCCAATGTTTTCCTGATCAATGGTTCCAAGCGACCAAGGCTCGTTTGTGATTTGCGAGCTTGCAATGCTGCTCTACCTCGCGCTAGCTCGCGCAACCCGGACTTGTGGAAAGTACTGTCTATCATCCGCTTGACTGGTCCATCAATAATCGTTGGCGCCGACATATCTTCGGCGTTCTACGCCATCAGAATCAGTGCGGAGTCTGGCACTACCCACTTCGTGCTGCACACAGCGCTTGGCACCTTTTGGTCTACAAGGTCATTGTTTGGAACAAGTATAGGTCCCAGCTCTCTGAGTGGCACACTAGGATCGAGTGTCGAGGCTGTCAAGAACTGCTCATCTGTTTTGCAGTCACCGTCAGTGGTTTCGGTGGTCTCGAATCATAGCGATCATGGAGATACGCACACTCGTTACCCTGTCGACCTCACCTCCAACCTCCAGTATTTTGCTGATGATATCGTCTGCTCCGGCTTCATCTGCACAATTATCCTCCACCTCATGGCTATCTTATTACAGGTCTTGGTCTTTCTGGCGTTTAACTGCCAGCCCAAGAAGTGTGCCATTTTGACGACTGAGGACAATCGTCAGGAGGCCGAGAAGACATGTAAGCAGTTTGGCCTACTCTTCCCTATAGCTGAAGTTATTGGAGTGCTGGGCGTGGTCTTCTCCTATACAGCAATCTGTGGTGGTCTTCCAGCACGACTATGTATGAGCTGTGATGCGGCTTCTCGCATGGCGAAAGCTATGGACTTCCTGAAGAAAGATCCGGTGTTGGCTCAGCGACCTAGTAAGATCGATATTTTCGCGGTCGGTGGTAAGCTTAGCTTCGACCAGGGACGGGTCCATGGAGAACGAAGGCTCATCAGTGATCTCTTGAAGGTCATTATTGCTAGGAATTTCCCTAGCTCTCCTTGGCACCAGCACTGTGACTTGACGACTATGCCTTCGACCGAGCAACAGGCCTACGAAGCGGTGGTGCTGTGGGCAAGGGAGGTCTGTGAATCGTCTTCGTCATGTCGTCATCTATCCCCTCTTCGTTCTAAGGGGCAATCTGAGGTCACCATTATCGTTGAGACCGATGCTTCGCTCTATGGCGGCGCTACGGTGGTAAGGATAGACGACGACATTATCCTTCAAGATGTGTATCGTTTCTCGGCTCGGCAAATCTCCTATTCATCGAATAGGAGAGAGCTACTGATGTGCTTACAAGGCATTCGTAGAGCGGCTGAGTTGATATCCTACCATCGTACCACTCTCACAGCCCTCACGAAATGCTCACACCTCTTCTTTAATGTCGACTTCCTTACCGACAACAAGTCTAGTTGTAGCTGGCTGTCCAATGATGAGGCTGTACTGAAGCTACAGAGCTCGAAGATTCTTGAGCGACGCGCCATCATACGACTCATTGACTCTATCTCAGAGGAGCTTAAGGTCATCAGGCAGTATGGTCGGTTGTCGCTATCACACTTGGCGGGTGCTACTAACCACTATGCTGACTCAGCCAGCCGGTTGTTGGACCGGCCTGTCAAGACGGGCACGACAACCACTAGATTGGGTGAGCTTTTGGCTGCCTATAAGAAGTCTGATAACCTCAAGCCATCACAGTTGATGGGGTCCGACAAAGGCGAGTGTGCCGGAGAGCATTGCTGCTGGGCGGGGTCTATCTCTCACGATGAAATACGGCTCATGGTCAACGCCGCGTCTGCACCAGCTATGTCCCTTCGAGAGGATCTCCCAAGCATCTCCCACGAAGACCTGGAAGAGCAAGAGAGGGACTTAGAAGGTGACTTTGACTCCTGCTGCTGTCTGATAGAAGATGATGACCCTACCGGAGGTATAGCAGCTTATGATCGTCAACCATTCTCTATGATAGCGTCTATAACCTCCGGCTCAGATGACTTTTGTGAGGATGTTTGTCGTGCCGTTGATTGCGTCCTTGCAATCCGTGATGACCTCGGTCAGAACCCCCCAGCGCCTCACCCAACGGCAGAGCCATTGATCGAAGCAATTGCCCGTGATTCATGGGATGTCGACTCCGTACTAGACCGAGTCCATATACTGCGATTGGTTCTCTCTGTCCTGCGGTCTAATGCTCAAGCTCCTAATGCCACTGTCCTGGAGTGCGAATGGAACCAAGCTTGGAATCAAGAGGATGTCTTATGCGCTGCTCACTCAGCACAGTTCAACTTGGTTAACGGTAAATCTCTACACGATATCAAGACCAACAAAGGATGCTCCTGGGATGTTATCGACCCAACTGCCCTCTCCAAAGTCTTAGCCTACCGATGTGGACTGCCGACCGGAGAGGTGGTGCTGCAACCGTGGATCCCATCGGCGAACGTCCACTTCATCAAGAAGGTTGTTCTTTCGGCCCATCGTAGCTGCCGTCATGGGTGTCTCCCTACGACTTCATCCAGGGTGAAGCTCTTCCATGTGCAGTCTCTGATACGCACAGTCAAATCGGTGATAAACGACTGTGTAACATGCAAGATACTACACTCTTCTAGGACTTGGTCAGTTCCCTGTGGTATGGGCGACACATCTGCCGAGGACATGTTTAAGTTGGCGCCTTACAGCTATGCAACGTGTGATGTCCTATCGTTGGGAGATCATTCCAAACTGCTCACGGTACAGTGTAGAGCAACTCGGCATATCTGCTGGAAACATCTCGACGACGATGGTGAGAACATCGACAACATCATCAGAGCACTTAAGAGGGTGAAGCGATGCGTGGGAGGTCTCCGTTATCTATATACTGATCAAGCGGGATACTTCAGATCGGACAAATTCCGTGTGCGACTTCTACAAGAACTTCGATGTGAACTCCGACTACTACCTCGCTATTCCCCATGGGCGGGGTCTAATGAGCGCCACCATCGGACCGCTCTTAATATGCTACGGGCTCTACTCAGACACGACGGTGGCCGCGTGGGTAACTTGACCCCTAGCCAACGCCAGGACATTTACGACGAGGTCACTCTGCTACATAACTCACTCCCCATCGGTGTCTACACCCTTCAAGGAGCTAGAGAGATTCCACTAACGAGTGACATGCTCGCTTTTGGTCACACTCGAGCTGATTCCTTCACGGATGTCAGCACCTTGAGAACGATGGCACCATGGATTCCCTATAAGGTTGCCCGCCGGGCTCGTAACATCTACCTCAGCCACATGTGGTCTATCGTTAAGAAGCGCAACTCCGAGCTGAGGCCGGTCAACAAGCGTCTTGGGGCCAATCACGACAACGACCCCTTTTCCGTTGCATCGCCAGTACTGGTCTACACTGGAGTACCGCGTAAGCTGGCACCGGCATTCACACTAGGGCATGTGAAGGAGAGAGTGAGCACTAACCGTGTCCGTATCATTCACCCCAACGGTACTACAAGTATCGAAAACCTTCGCAACGTGGTCCCTATGATTCAGTATGATCGCGATCCTCCCCAACAAGATGATTTGCCTGATGAGTGAGGTCTATTTTTTTCAGTGGCCAGTCGTCCTGGCTGAGGTGGCTCGTCTCTGCGATGCTTCGCATCGAGAGGGGGGCGTGTAAGATACCGAGGATATCTAAATAATAATTAACCTATTTCAGCCTATTGTCCAGTAGTACCTTCTGTGTGCGTTATTCATATCTTTCATTGTATCCTTCGCTCGCCATTGGATACTTGTAACCGCCACGAAGCATGCTGGACAATCCCAAGATAGATTTGGGAGTATTATACTCATCATTCCCTAATCGACTGGTATTGAGTTGGTCTACTTCGACACCGGTGAATCTAACATGATTACTTATCTAAACATTAACACTTAAATTCAAGTCGCGTATTTCAAAATGTAGAAAAATTTTTTATCGCTCTGCACGCGTGGCATCTACTGCAACATCACACGGGATTTAGTAATGCCTAAATATACTCAATTGATGTAGACTATATTCACCCTAAGCTTAGCTGATGGGTCTCTTAACCCGAGGGAGTCACAATGTGCTACGGGCAGCAGTGTTGGAGTAGGAATATATGTTCGCTGTCTAATTTTTTCTGTCGAATTTCCTCGCTAGTTATAGGAATTCGGGTAGAAGTGTTCAAAAGTCAGTAAGAATTTACCGAAATTCCGTCAGAATTTTCAAATTGACACCAACACATGTGGTTGACGACCATGCACATATTTTCTCACATTGCCTGTGGTGGATCGGGACAGCGATGATGATGATGTACCAGCATCTTCGAATGTGAGCTTAGGTATATGCTGCCAGCGCTACTAACAACTGGTCTTAGTCGCCAGTTGGGAATTCCCGACGCGGCGTTTGCTATTTCCGGCGAATACGTACGCGAGGCTGTTTTGTGAGTTGCTGTTGAAACTCTTCTATCGATACTTCCTAATAGGAATATTCAAGTACTACCTCCGATCTCTTTGGCTACCAAATTGGCACCGCCCGGGCTAGAGGGGACTTTATTCTCGCTGTTTACTACAGTGCAGAACCTCTCTGCAGGTGCCTCTAGGCTGACCTCATGTGAGTAACCATCAGTCTTTAGATTAGTGTTAGTGGTCGGCTTGTTAGCGGCCGCTATTGCTATGTTTGGTGTGAACTCCCCTCACTTCAACGGCATCACGGCGTTGATATTTTTCTGTGGTATGGGCCTTCTGGCACCTCTACCGGTGAGTATTGGAAAATATGCACATGGTCAACTAGGTGTGTTGGTGACAATATGAAAACTATGAAATAATTATTGGTTTCTCTACACTTCTACCCAAATGAGCTCAGACGAGGAAACTAAACGTATAGTCTAACTCTGATGAACTAAGTTCGTATCGTTCCGAGCGAACTCTAGAGCTTGGGCGCGGGCATACCTCTCGGAAAAATTCGGAAAAATTTATATTTTTTGTTTGCTATCAGAGATATTTCTAAGTATAAGTTTTTGAACGTCTTTTTGAACAGATTCTTTCGTCGATATCTGAGGAGGGAGAGGAAGCCACTGATGGTGAGGATAGATACCGTGTGGTGGAAATAGAAGACCATCAGCAAACTGGACAGTTGGGGGTTTTGATGCTACTAGTGTTGGTGTTTTTGTTTTTTTCGTAGGAGTACCACAACTCCTCCAACACTCGTTATGGGAGATACCTCTGATGAGGCCACCAACCCGGTGAGAGGTCCCGAGTTCTATCCGATGTCATCATGTATTATAGGATCATACGATGAATGAGTTGACACCTCTTGGCCGAGGAAGGCGCCTCAGTGTCGATGACTGACCCAACATGACCGTGTGACCATAGAATTTGATAGAACGACTTTGGTTGCTAGTTGGCAGCGTTTTCAATTGGTACTAGCAAACGGCCGATCGTATCACATCTTGAAATATTTGTTTATATTATGAATTGCTGGCGTGATCGAAGTGTCCATCTCAAAAGGCATTGAGAACGTCGGGGTGAGATGGTATTACATTTCTTACTGTATGTCGTCAGAATAGACCGAGACTGTTGTTGATGATGATAATTCTCCCGATCTGTTGTGCTCTGCTTAGACATGCGCTATGAAAAGAAACAAATTCCCTCCGTAACAGAGGCTCCGCTAAGGCTTTGTGTCGTTCTCATGCAACTTCCCGTTAGTCAACTACTTTTAAAATCGGAGAAAACAACAACTACGACATGCGTTGAATGACGAATGCCCAGCGTTAGTAGTTCCAAATCACTTCGATGGTACTTCGTCCTCTCCTCACCTTGAAGGAAGAGTATTTCGGTTCGACTAGAGTGATGTTCCGATGGGACCCCTCGGCCTCGCGTTTGGCATGCATCCCTGCTGCTAGACCTAGCAACCTGTTTGTATTCACCTCGAGTGGTGAAATTGAAAGAGTGAGATATTTCTACTGCGCAGTTGGTCAATATTGCTTTTATTAAGGACGTTATGCTTGAAGAAAGAGACAGTCCAGTGAGCTCATTTGAGTGGGATAGGACGGGAGATATCCTGGCCTTGATACAGAAGGTCAGTTATTGTATGAATTCGCCATGTTATGGTATGAATATTATTGGTTTTCGTCGTGTACAGCAACAATCTTTACTCCCAATACACAATCATTAGTATCAGCTATATGCTCTTGCCTCATGTATTGCTATCAACTCATTCGTATATAATCATCCCGTTGAGGAGGACACTGCAGTAGTTGCTGAAACAGTGGTGGGAAAATGCACTTAGTCAATTGAGTGCGTAGGTGACGATATGAAAATTCTGAGGAAATTATAGTTGGTTTCTGTATTAGTATACATATTTTCGTACTGAAGTTTAAGGGGACTTCTGAGTTTAGCTAAGGGAAATAAGTATATATTCCAACACTGGGCTTGAGCGTTGTTCGGTCGTAGGGCACGGCAAAGGTCACGATTTACCACTATAACGAAGATAGATTGGAGATTGTTGATTGCTCGGGAGAAGATCCTTCTTTTATCGCATGGAATAGGATTGGACCACAACTGGCCATTGGAATGTCCAAAGGGAATATCAGCATGTGAGCAACCGAGAGGTTCCCGGTTCGATCCCTGGTGAGGGTATTATTATTATATAGATACAACTCAAAGAGCATGGAAAGGCAGTTGATAGCAGGCAAGCATGGTCGTATGATAACCTGTGGTGCATGGACCCTTCGGGGCCTCCTCATGCTCGGCAGTGAAGACAGGATCATCTCCCTGAGTAAGGCATAGGAGTTTTATTCGTTTTACGTGAAGTGGCGTCGTAATACTCTGATAAACTTGATATTTGTGATGATATGCAGTAGTTGTGAAATATATTTTTTCACTAGTGTTTTTCATATTACGGGTATCTTGTGGAATGCGAAGCTGATGAATATCTGCGAAAAAATGCACATGGACAACATGAAAATTGTGAGGAAATTTTGGGAAACATTCCTTGGTTTTTATACAGTTTTTTTAGCGAATTTTCATGATGTTGTGACGCAAATTCTGAGGTCAGCTGATGAAATTAATAACATAGCTTAACACTGTTGGAAGAAATTGTTACATGCAGATGTTAATTGCTCACTTTATGAGATGAGATATTCCCAATATAATTTAGGTGATTCTGAAGGAGAAACGCTACGTCAGACAATGCTACGCTCCGCCCCGACTAGCATGAAAATCTCCGATGATATTCTGTATGGCAATGAGAGTGATAACAGCATGTTTATCTCTATGACGGCACTCATCCATTAGGCAAAAGTGTATTTGAAAAGGGCAATTCAGTGACCAAATGCTGTGTGCGCACGGCGAAGGATACGCTTACTGTGTTGGAGATCGATGGTATGACGGTATTAGCAACTATAAAGTTGACTCAGAAGTAAGAGAGTGATCCGATGGGTGAGGGGATGAACGGTCACAGGTACAGGTCTATAGTTGACTTTGGTTGGTTCGGTGATGAACAGCTTTGTATAGGATATGTGGGTGAGTCGGGGAGAGATGCTCTGTTGCATATTGTTTACTATCGTATTTGCTATTAATTCTACGAGTGTATTTTTCTGCTCGAGTAGCATTTTTTTCCAGCATAGGAGTTTGGCATCTCAGAAATGAGCGGTCAAGACTTCTGACGGGAAAAAATTCACATGGATAGTATAGGTATAGATTCGGCCGGAGTATATGGTAGTGGTTAATAGTAGTTGATGGCGTAATTCGTGTAGTATTATTATAACAAGTGTGTTATTAATTATTTCGATTGTTGCATATCCGGACCTATTGTGTATCTTTTGTGAGGGGACCTTGGATACTAGGTGGACACATTGTCGTGACGTCGAGCCGAGGTGATGAGGCTGGTCAGGAGTTGTTCCAAATGAAACCACTATCAAGCTTGGATGCTCTGGCTCTCTGTACGTGTTTTATTACCTATACCACACTTCGATCACTTTCCAGCAGGTTCCGTACCCTCGAAAACGGGAGGCTTCTCAGCCCTGTCGGCAGCTGTCGCGGGTGACGGTTGTGTTAAATTGATAGATTTAATACAGCGGAGCGAAGAATCGGATAAAACGATTACTGTTGATGACGATGAGGAGAAGGGGGGCATTGTGTCTGATTTGGTCTTTTCGAGAGCCGGGCAAACTATCACTTTCAGTGAGTCGTAGTGAATTTACTGCTTTTCTCGCACACTGGTTTTATATAGCAAATGCCAACGTAGAAGTAAATGTCGTCGATAAGGTATCATGTAAATGTGTATAAATGTCGCAAGGAATTTACGCATGAAAATTCACAAAACGAACTCAATAAGCTGATTTCAATCTCAGCGTAGACCGCTGTGATCACCACATCGCGGTCGCTGTTTCGGTCAGGTCTCTCGACCGGATGCATACGTTCTTATCTGCTGCGACTTCCATCGATCATCACAGCTAGAGGCTCTACTGTGGCTTGGATGAGCAGCCTGAGGGAAATTACTTTCATTGATGTTAATGTTGATAATGGGAAAGATAGTAAGTGGAGTATGCTTGTGGTTTTTACATGATGAATCTTGAGTAGTATCTTGAGGTTGCCTATTGGAAGATACGGAATAGGTCGGATTTGATACCATCATTATTTTCAGTGGGGGAGAATATGCATGTGGTCAACTACATGTGTTGGTGACAATATGTAAATTCTGAGTTGATCTTTATACACTTCTACCCGAATTCGTATGTGAGCTCCTCTAATAAGTGAGAAAACTCATGATTTTTGCTGAGGAAAGCGAATATATATTTCTCCAACACTGACCATTTTTGAGTAAAACGAAAGGCAACATGGCGTGGTTCATCGAGAAATCTGGTGCTCAGAAAAAGCAGTCCAGTGCGAGGAAGAACCGCGCCTGCTAGGAGTCGGTCCTGACCACATAGCCGCTGGTGAGGAGGTCTCCAAGGGTGATGGGAAGCTGCATTCGTCGCTTGTGTTCGCAGCATGTGGTCGGCGTATCTTCTATTACTCTCGATTGGATACGGATGAGGTCCGGAAAGAGTACCCTGATGAAGTTACAGGAGTGGAAATGTCAGCTACTTATGCTGCAGTGTTGGTTGACAGAAAAATGTTGGTATAGTTTGGAACTAGAGGTGGCCTTACTGTGAGTGTAGATATGTGCATCGAATAGGGAGAGGTGAGATGAGGATCCTACCCGAGGAAGGAATTCTGTCGTTTCGGTTGACGCTGCAAAATATGCTGATGTGAGCACGGATGAGATCTTTGGGAGTAGCTGAGGTCGGTATAGAGAATGATGGAAGTTGGCTGGTATTGAAAACTCCTGATGAGCGAAATTTACTGATAGTGATGGTGGGGATTCTATAGGAGCTTTGTGAGAGTAGGGAATATCATATTCCCGAGAGTTGGTCAGTACATTGCTTGTGACAGTCTACAATGGAGTTCCGCCACTCTGGTGATATGAAAAAACACTAGTGAGAAACTGCGAATATCGCGTTTTTCACCGAGTTTTACGCCACTTCATGTAAAACGGGTGGTGAAACTCCATTGTTATGGTTCGATCGTTTTGAGCTACTTACAGGTTTTATTTTCAATTGTTGTGGTTATTTTCACAGTCATTCAGTCATGATGTGTTTATACAGTGGAGTTTCACCCTAGTGATATGGAAAACACTAGTGAAAAACATATCTCACGACTACTACAGGCCGCGAATATCGCGTTTCTCACCGAGTTTTACGCCACTTCGCGTTAAACGCGTGAAACTCCGTTATAGGAATTTGCTATTTCATCAATATCATTGGTATCGTTCTGTGTGGCCTGCCAGATACTCAACGACCGAGAAGGAGCTCATTCATTATGATGTGGGTGGTCGTTGGTGAGGAGAAGGATGACATGATGGAGCTCAGGTTGAGGAAGATTGCCGAGTGAACGAGTACAGGCATACTGATAATATCATAGCTGTATATCCTAACAACCTTGGAGGAGTTTATACAGCATTCATTGACATTAGAGGGGTGCTGCATGTGTATAATGCAGTCACCGAGGTGAGGGTGGCGATGGTCTTGGGTGGGGATCTTATACTTTGAGCTTGTTGGTGAGCTGTGGAAACAGGTGTTGGGATATGCATGTATGTTTATTATGTTGATAAGTATATGTGCACATTGTGTATTGGAGTTTCACCAGTTTTACGCGAAGTGGCGTAGAATTCTGTGAAAAACGCGATATTCGCGCTATGCAGTAGTCGTGAAATATGTTTTTCACTAGTGTTTTCTTTCATATCACTAGGGTTTTTGAAACTCTATTATATGCGTGTCCGTATATGTGAATATACATGTATACAGGGACATGTATGTCCGCTTTCCTTAGCTCAGCTCAGGCGTTTCCTCAACTACTATAGAAATTGACGTATGAATTCGAACGTGGAACCACCAAGAATTTCCTCAGAATTTTCACGTGTATTTGATAATGTACATATTTTTCTCACTGACGGAAATTATCAGAATAATCAGACGCAATTTTTTGGCAATTTTCCGAATAATTTTTCGACTAAGTTATATACGGAAATATATTGTGGTTAGGTTTGCATGATACCGATCAAGCCCGAGAAGGTGGGGAAGATAAAAGGAGTTGTGTGGGATTTGGCAGACCCTATGGTTTTCGTCGTTGTTGCTGATGATATTCGGGGAACTGCTGAACTTGGATTGCACACATGTGTGGTTTTTGATGTAAGCTACTGAGAGTAGGGGATGCGATGTGGCGATGGAGTGGTATGGGTTGGAATGATAAAGGGAAGAGGGGAGTTTATAGCTACTATATTTAGCATACTACATCTTAGATAGCAGCCAATCTGTGGCCATCAGAGGTTGATATCAGTGGTGTCAATATCAGTCTACACTGAATCAATACCGCACTCTCCGCTAAACTGTTGAGCAACGGACTTCGATCAATGTTCATTGGCCACAGTCGAAGACAAAAAAACGCTCGCCCTTGTTGTTGTCTAAGTTCTAGCAGTAGTACTGATGTAATTCAGTGGACCTCATCTGTATCTTCCACGGTTGAACCTCGGATTCTCCATTTTGTGTTAGTATTCTCTATCGGGTCCAAGGGTGGTGGCAGTCGGTGGTAGCATGAGACGAGATGGAGACTTGATAGATGCGGATTCTGGTTGGGAAGATCCGACCACGGTGAGGAGTCAAGAGGTAGCCCTTGTGGTTTACAACGGGTGAGTGCAGCTGAATCGGGGTGCTTTAGCGGTGAAAAAATTACATATTTTTGAGTATGTTGTCATTCCATTTGATGGCCGATATTATTAATATTTTAATATCAGTTATTATAATCATCCAATATTATCATTTTCATCATGGTTGTTATCACTGATGATTTTGGAAGATGTCGACTTTTACACACAACTTCATTATTGCTAAGTTTATCAACGGACTATTCTCTCATCACCGCTCAGGAAAGTGGTTGTTCAAGGTCAGCAGCCCGGGGATTTCAGAGTAACGGAGTTGGTTTCCCATTCGGGAATCTCAGCGTCCCCTGCTCTCCAGCATATGGACGGTGAGTGCAGCATTACTATTATGATGTAATCATGAGTTCGTAGCAGTATGGGAATATATGCTTGGTTTCCTCACCTGAGCTCGTAAGTTTTCTCACTATATTATGGAAAATCGCTCGATTTTGGGTATCAGTAAACAAAAATCAACGATAATTTCTCAAAATTTCCATATTCCTAGCAACACATGTAGTTGACCATGTGCATATATTGCCGCCGCACTGGTTCGTAGATACCGAGGATGGAGTCGTTATGGACGATGACGAGAAGGAAATGGTGGTGGTGCGGTTAGCAGCACTTGGGAAATTGGGTAGGTTTTGTAGCTTGTGTGAGAGCTATTTTCTCTTGTATGAGAGTTAACTGCGAGACGGTCATATATCTTGTATTTTGTGTATACATTATAATCAGTTCTCTACAGAATTTGTGAGCGCACGAGACTGATATAGCAAAGCAAATACTTTGAGGAAAATCATATGGGCAACTTTACCATCCGAGTGTTTGGCTGTGTATAGTGCATAGTGTCGAGTAGAGTTGTGAGAATTTTCGTAACTTCGGGGAAGGGATGGTTACATTGTGGCAAAGTATGCACATGGTCAACCACATGTGTTGGTGATGACAATATCACGAGGAAAGTTTATCTGCACGGTCCGTATATATTCTCCCAATTCGTATATACACTCTAGTGAGGAAACTTTCGAGCTCAGCTGTGGAAAGCGATTACATATTTTGTAGCACACGATGTATCAACAGTTGTTTGCTACGGTGGTGACATAACGGGAGATATTGATTTCGTATTAGATCTGGCTTATCGAATGTGTATGTCGATGAATGACGACTTAGAGAAGAGGGAGATGCTCCTGAGGACTATTGGAAGGCAAGCAGTAGAGATACTTGAGATTAAGTGAGACGTGTTGTTGGTTGTTATTGAGATGGATGATGGTTTTTTAATCAGAATCGCAGTATTAGCTTATAGGGCATGCGGTGACGGTGATAGGGTATCTTTTCTGGAGCGAATTGTTCAGCTGGAGGAGGTGCCGATGTTGCAGGGATATTTGAAAGTCTTCCTTGGACAAAAACAAGTGAGATGAATATAAGGAGTATGTGTTTTTCCGGAAAAAAATCGGAAAATTGAATTTTTTCGTCAAGTTTTCAAGTCATTATTGAGCTCAAACGTTGATGGATTGTTTAGATCTACTAGCCGGTTTGGCTTTAGAGTATTTAGATTCCATTCAGATCTATTTGAAATCGTAGTGAAAACTTGAATGATTTTTTGATGAAGTGATAAGTTATCATATGATGAAATGAATCGGTCATCGCCACGGCTACTGATATGTGGAGATGAGCGAAATCATGACATCCCCTGGGGCTTCCGACGTAGTTCACTTGCGCTGAGACAATTGCGACCGGTTTGAAAGGAAATATTCACCTAAGTGTTAGTAAATTGTCCGACATATATGCTTATGAAGCTCGGGTCGATCATCTGCATGGAAATAGTAGTTGGTTGGATTTGCATCATTTTGGAAGAGTTGAAGTACTGTGTTGTTTTCAGGCTGCCATAGAGACTTTTATAAAGGCTGGAGTGCCTCGAGAAGCACTTGAGATTATGTGTGATGCCCAGATGTGGGGATCTGCGAAGGGCTTGGCCATCACCATCGATAGGAGTAGACTGCCGTTAATATATCGTCAAGTTGGAACGGTAGGCTGAAGTGGAGTACTCACTTACAATGGAGTTTCACGACCCTAGTGATATGAAAAGCACTAGTGAAAAATATATTTCACGACTACTGCAAATCCCCGCGAATATTGGGGTTTTCACAGAGTATTACTACGCCACTTCACGTAAAACGGGTGTCGAAACTCTAATGTATGGGTGAGGGTTTGAGTATGCGTACTGGTCTGAAATGTGAGAAAGGCAATTTCGATTCAAAATTGCCGCTTTCACAGCTCTGAAAATAGGAGTATTTTTTTCCAGAAAAAAATTTCCATTTTAGACTTGAGATGAAATATCGCTTGTATGTTGTGGATGTTGAAAGTGATCGATTATTAGATGCTTGAGGACAAGGGCGACTATAAAGGAGCTGTGGTGAATTATAGGGAGGCGGTCAGAGAGGTGGAAGGAAGGGCTGATGATTTCCACATGGGTGATGATGATCATGAAGAAGAATGTATACAGGCTTGTTATGGTGGCATGGCTCGGTGAGTGGGACGAGACGTGTCACCATTGATAGTGTCACCATGGAATAAGTCCTGTATCGCATTAACAAGGATCGTTCCTTTGTGGTGCATTCAGCTATGGTTATGAAATTGGATATCATCATAGAGTTTCACCCGCGATATAAAAAACACTAGTAAAAATCGCGTTTTCGGCGGCTTTCACTTTCGAGAAAAACGCCAGTTCTACGTGTTGTGAAACTCCAATACGTGTTGGTATTTATGCGCTGTGGGCAGCTGTTGTGAAGGTGCCTGTGTTATTGTGGTGATTACGATGAAGCTGCAAAGATATGTGAGGACCTAGAGGAGGAGGATGTGCTTATGGAATGCGCTGTTATTATGGAGCGTATGAAGCAATACTCTCATGCTGGGAGGTGAGGGGAAAAATGACAGGTGCAGGGATCGAACCTGGGTGGTGGCGGTGTTGTTTTAGAATACATGAGCGTTTGGGTAATGTGGAGAGAGCATGTGGACTGTATATTCAGGATATGGACTTTGATGCTGCCAAGCCTATGATGGAGGAAGTAATTCACGGGGCCGATCTGTTGTGATATAGTGGAGTTGCACCTGTGATATGAAAAACATATTTTACATTTCACGAGAAGAAGCATGCGAGCAGTGATTAACACGTGAAAAGGAGCGAAATTCGCGAACTGTTATTAATTGATTTCATATCGCGAATGTCGCGCTTCGCGCAGGGTGTATTACGCCACTCCACGTAAAACGGGTGAAACAGCTGAGGAAACCGAAATGACTATACGATAAAGAATTTTCCATAATTTCAGAATATGCGATTATCACTGGGATGGTAGCCTGAAAATTAGTTTAACTCTGATTCACTGAAGCAGCCATGTATATCGGGAGTTGGGTCCCTAGCTCGGGCATTTTTCGGTTGATTTTCGCGATGGAGTTATTCGCGTTCTTAGCAGAAACACAAGCTTTCTATTGGCGTGCAAAGTAGTTGAAAATTTAAGTGAGCTTATAGGCTCCGCGTGATCGGCGACTCGGTAGACTTGAATACTACTTTAGATTTCAACGCCGAAATTGCACCTGCTGTATGCAAAGGCGAAAGAAACCCGAGGATTTTATAAGGAAGCTGAAAGGAGCTACGAGAAGGGAGGGGATATGGATTCGATCGTCCGAATGTTGCTAAATGAGAATCAGCTTAACGAGCCAAGGAAGGCAATGGAGATGATCAGGAGAGGTGGGTGAGGTTGGTATGAGAGTTTTTGGAAATGTTTCTCGGCAATAAATAATAAACTGTTGCGGTCGTTTATCACGAAAATATATTTCTGTGTTGGTTCTGGCCGTTTTTGTGTAGGTAACCAAATTTTTCTTTTTTTGGTTTTTTTTCGTTTTTTCCCTTTTTTCGTTCTTCCTTTTTTTCCTTTTTTTCGTTTTTTTCGTTTTTTTCCGTTTTTTTCCGTTTTTTTCCGTTTTTTCTTTTTTTTTTCGTTTTTTCCGTTTTTTCCGTTTTTTTGTGTAGGATTGGCGCCTTCGATGGTAGCAGCAGAGATGGTTGCGGACTACTGTAGACGAGTTGGTGATATCTGTGGTTCGATTGAGTTCTTGACAAGAGCACACTTGTATGATATGGCTTTTGAAATTGCAATGCGGCATGACAAGATGGCTGTATTCGAGAAGGCCTTGGCTAGGGTGAGAAAGTGCGGGATGATATTGTTAAGATGAGCGGAGCGAAATTCAGGGGGGTATAAAAAATACTGATTTTTTCTGTGCAAGTTTGAGATGGATGTCAGTGTCACATCCATGCTGGTGATAATACGTGTTCATGTTGGGCTTGAAGAAATATCGGGTGACAAATTGACAATAATAGATTATCATTCTTGGATGCGACGCTGACATAATGGCATCCGCATTTATCAAACTTGCACGTGTAGTAGTATCGGTAAAAGAGGTCACATTGAAAGCAAGCATGAAAACATGGGGAAGAGCACGCAACTAAATGTTGGATCTCAAATATGGCATTCTCCCTATCAACGTAGATGCGAAGTTGCAGGGGCAATTGATAGGTGTGCGCTAGTGAAAATGGAGTATACGTAAAGACCAGTATATGTGAATACAAGTATAGTGTATAAGAACCATATGTGTATGATTGTGATATATGTTGAATTGAAGATTTCCTATTGGATAGAAATATTGGAGTTTCACCCTGGTGATATGAGAAACACTAGTGAAAAGTATATTTCACGACTACTGCATATCAACGAGAATATCGCCGTTTTTCACGTAAAATGCTGGTGAAACTCCATTATGATGATATGACTATCTATAGATTAATTTTTATATATGTTTCGATGCAGAGAAGAGAGCGACAGTATAGGGAGTAGATGAGCAAAACTGATGGGGTGTGACTTTGATTTCACTCGTCAATGATCTCGAAAATCTTCTAGAGATGGCTTGGGTGTTTCCAGAGCTTTGCTGCGGCATGGCGAGGCGAAGCGAAGCGAATTATTCATTTTTCTATTGAAATTAGCTTTTTGAAAACGCGAGGATGTCGTTGTAACGAAAGAATTTAGTGACAAATCTGTAAGAGTACTATGGTCAGTTTTAACACCATCTTCAGAGAGTGATCATTTTCTCTCAGAGTCGCGAGTCGACCGAAATGGTACAGAAACAGTATAATAATATTGCTGGTTATTATAGAGAAAGAAATCTACCACTTGAAGCGGCGAAGAATTATGTTTTGTGTGAAGAGTAAGGAGAGTGTTGGAGGAATATGTGTTCACCCGTTTTACGAATGATAAATGTATGACGCTCATCGGGAGAACATCAGCAGCAGATGGCGAGTGTTGCAATATATATTCGTTTTTCTCAGCTGAGCTTAGCATAGGAGCTCACATACGAATTCGGGTAGAAGTGTACATAAGTTAACGAGAATTTCTCAAGATTCTCTCCCAGAATTTTCATTTTCTCACCGACACATGTAGTTGACCATGTGCATGTTTTATCATACTTAGTGAGGTGGGCTACTACAGTGGGAGGGGGGCGTAGATACAGAAATTTTTCGATTTGTGTGACGGCTGAGCGTAAACTCGTAATTCGACACTTTACGGTATTGTTTATCCGCATTTTTTCACGGTGAAATACTATATTGGTTTTAACTATGTATCGGTTTGGTCGAGAAATTACAGAAAATGATAATAGTGTTGTTGTAGAAGTCGTATCACTCGATGGTGGTGCCAGGTATGAGCTCGCATTGGATCTATGTCTATCGTTGGAGCGCAGGAGCAGTATTGGTGGTGAGGAGGAAGAGTTGTGGGAGTTGCCGGCTCATATGGAGCTCGCTATTGATATTGCTGGGTAGGCTTCACAGTGTGGGATTACATGCACATGTTATAGTATGAAAATTCGGGGAGAAAATCTCGGGGAATTTTCAGTGGTTTCTGCACACTTCTACCCGAATTCATGTGTGAACTTCATGATATTCGGGGAAACTCTCGAGCTCGGCTGAGGAAAGCGAGCATATATTACAACACCCACTTGCTGGCGTATATTGTTCGTTACGCTCGATTGCCCTGTAATACGTTACTCTCACTATTTGTACAATCTTCATTGCGATTCACTCGTATACAGGGTAATGTGGTTTGTTTGTTTTTTCTGATTTGTTTATCAAACCTGAGTGTACTGTAGTAGTACTATTAATGTTGGGTCGATATTCTCCACAGCTTGTATGGTTATTATATTGTTATTGCCCATTCAGGAGTAGGTTGATTTATATAGGGTTGCTGTTTGCTATACTGTGTATATCAGATGATAAATTTAATGCAACTATCACGATGACAATTATTTTCACAGTATCAGCCTAGAATATTCTGAAGACATTTGCGATCTCGAAAGGGATGTAGAATGTGGCGTTCAGGCGCTGTCGTGATGAAGCTTTGGTCAATCGTCTGGTGGACCATTTACTACGGGCGAGCGCAGATGTTGAAGACCACCAACTTGGGCAACAACAGGTGAGGGCTGTGATGGAATAAATGGTCGCTATCCTCGTCTGAGTTGAGAGAAGTTTGGTAACTGATTATAGGAGTTTATATATGAATTCGGGTAGAAGTGTAAGAAAACTGGTGAGAATTTCTCGAAATTTTCTCTCACAAGTTTCATATTTTCATGAGAGTTGAGGAGTTTCTACGTTTACATGTGAATTCGAGTAGAAGTGCACTGAAACTGACGATTATTTCTTACTTTTTTCTCGAAAATTTTATGTTGCGATCAACACACGTAGTTCACGATGTGCATATTTTCCTATACTGAAATATGGTATGGCTGCTGCTGTAGTAACAAGGCTCTATCAATAGGAATTCGCAAAGAGAAAATGTTCCCGAGAAATAACCACCTCGTGAATGATTAAGCATTACGGTTGAAACAACATCGTTGGTAAAAAAATCCGATTTCGGTTTTAATTTCTCAGGCGAAATGTATCTATAAGTTGCATGAAGTATTAGGCAACTATGAGGAGGCAACAAAAGTAGCAATGCTCATAGCAGGGCGCGAACAAGGTGAAGGGCGATATAAATCTGCCCGCGCGCTCCTCTTGAAGACGTATAAGGTGCCTTGCATACGTTGTAAATGTGGGAGGATACATTTTAGGATTTGGAACGTGTTGAGATGAGTGTGCCTACAGAGTTGTGGAGGAAATTGATGCTACTGCAAAGCTATATTTTGGTGAGGCCATTGGCAGAAATGGGAGAACACGTGAATGCTGCACTTCTATTGAGGCGAATCTGTGAAGGTGAGCATGGAAAAAAGAATCGAAAATATGTTGTTAGCAATTGAGGTCGATAGTGTTGAAAGTTGGCAGGCCTTCATTATCTTCAAGTGAGGTAACGCTACAACAAGAAGAACTTATTTATCAACTTGACGTTTGCAATGCGATACGAATTCAAGGAGACAACCTACACAGAAATAAACACAGTCCTTCATCGTAGGCCGCAATCAAACCCCCTAATATCAATGGAGTTTCACGGCCACCCTAGTGATGTGAAAAACAGTAGTTAAAAATATATTGCACGACTACTGCATATCACCGCGAATATTTCCCAGAGTAGTACGACGCCACTTCACGTAAAACTCCACTATAGTGAATATTCGATGTGAATATGAAATGTAGTTTGATGTTGTAGGTGACGTCGTCATGCAGTTGTTCCGTAAACACAGTGCCCAAACTCTTGCATCGGCTGTTATTGAGTGTATGAAGTGTGGTATGAAGATGGAGGCACACCAATACGCATGTGACCTTATGAGGGATGCTCACTTGAGGAATCAGGTAGGGAGGAGGATACTGGACTGCTTATGGTTGTTTATTATTGTTGTTTATTATTGTTGTTTATTATTATTGTTTATTATTGTTGTTTATTGTTGTTGTTTATTATTGTTGTTTATTGTTGTTGTTTATTATTGTTGTTTATTGTTGTTGTTTATTATTGTTGTTTATTATTGTTGTTTATTATTGTTGTTTATTACTGTTGTTTATTATTGTTGTTTATTATTGTTACTTTTTGCCATTGTTTATTATTGTTGTTTATTATTGTTACTTTTTGTCATTGTTTATCACTGTTGTTCATTATCATTGTTTATCATTGTTGCTTGTTTTCCCATTATTTTCTGCTAATATTCGAATGACATCCATAATTTCTCGTTCCTCGTCGAAGCAAGAGAGAATGCGACGGTCGTCGGGGAATCCTCGATTGGTGTTAAATAAAATGAAATCAGATATACGACGAAGGCGACCAAAGTTCATATCTCAGCGTTATCAGATATCAGAGCAGTTGCGTAAAAAGATCGAATTAGTCGTACGTAAGCCTCCCAAGAGTGATCAACAACAGCAGCAATATGAAGAGCCTCTCACCCCGTGCCCTTATTGCTCGACGCTGCTACCAGAAACGTCCCTTAGCTGTGGTAATTGCCAGAATATTGTACCATTCTGTATAGCCACTGGTCTACACGCTCTATTGGAGGACTGGGCCTGTCCTTGTCGTAAATGCATGCTACCGGCGAGGCACACTATGTTGGAGAAAATGCTGGTGAGTCAGTCGAAAAGAATTTTGAATATCATCTGAGGTTATCCACGAATGTACAAGGGTGTCTGTGTGGGGAAATATGCATATGTGTTGGCGACTAGGTGGAAATTTTGGGAAATTTTTGATGGTTTTTTTCATACATTTTCATCCGAATTTGCATATACTTGCGAGTATAATTATCAAAATATGTATAAATATGAACATGAGAAATTATGTTTTGTAATTTTCTTAAAATCTGGCGTATCGAGTGATGCAGGCGCGTACGGGCTCTTTACGGTGCCCTATGTGTGAGGAGGAACTGCCGACTTCTGCTGTGGTGAAATTAAGCCCCGATGAGGCTCGTCAACAGGCAGACGATTTTAAGAGGAAATTTAACCGGATGATGGATATACATGATCAGTGATTGTTAGCTGCTCGGTTGGGGCGTGTTGGGTTTATATTCTAGGAGGGATCTAATACGGTGGAATAGGATTGAGAACATGCTGATGATATTTCGAGATGATTGTGATGTATTATTAATCAACAATCTTGGTGAAGACTCTTTGGTGGTTGTTCGTAGAAACTAGAGAAACATCAAAACGATTAACGATGGAGTAAGAGGTCAGATTTCTAAGCGTAAAAGGGAAAAGGAAGAAGATTGTCGTAATAGTTGTGGTATTATTTGAAATTGAATTCTAGTACAGCTCATATGAGGCTTTGTCTCTTCTGGAGTAGTTTTTTGTGATGATAAAAAAGTCCTCATCCGTTGGTATTAGAATTCCCTTATGGGTGAGGTTACTGTTATGTATTGGAATGGGATTAATCATTATACTATCTCGAGTGAGGCTGGTCAGCTTCCCGCAGGATGACGAGAGCATTCACAGCGCGCCACTGGTAGGGTTTGATCTCAAGTAGTAGTGGGGGGGGGGGAGAATTGGAGGAATATATGTTCGCTTTCTCCAGGTGAATTCGGGAGTTTTCTTACTATGGAAATTTATATACGAATTCGGGTAGAAATGTACAGAGAGAAATGAGAATTTTCAGCACATGTGGTTGACTATGTGCATATTTCCTCACAGTGATTGTTATAATAGAAACGAATGATAATCGCGACTAAGGAAAACTCCATGGATGATTTCTTCCCAACCGTGCTTGACGTTTTTCTCTTACTTGAAGAGCATTTGATGGTATTTTCGTGGAGTTTTCTCGCAAATTTTCAAAAAATTTCCCTATGTTGAAAAAATGTATGTAATAAATGCTCAAGTAATATGTAACTTTCACAAAGTCCGGTATTTTCAGTTCGCTGTTCACGGAGAAGTATCTCCTGAGGAGAGCGTGGGGTACGTATATACCTCAGCTGTTCTTCGCGTTGACGCCAGCCCAGAGTCAATGGCAAGGAGAGGACCCTCGGGGAGCCCCGGTGGTGGGTGTTATGTGGAGTGATGCTAATGCTAAGCATATCCGATATGAATGTGATGTTCCTGGTAATTTGGGAGGGGCGCGGTAGGGACTGGCATATATTTTGTCATTTATTTATTATCAATCATTGTAATTTTTTTTGATAATTTTGTAAGAAAATGTGGAGTATGTGAAAATGTTATGTATTTTCACAGACTCAGAAAATTGTCGAGCGCAGATCTGAGTTGGTTGTCAGTAGTATAGCACAAGAATTTTGAAAATCATCGTTTCATCATCAGCGGTTCTCCTTCAAAATTAGCTTTCCTCAGAGATCAGGACTATCAAATTCGTTGTTATACTCGACCGATCGCTGTTGGTGACCGACAGTTTTTCTGTATGTATTGAATCTAGATAGTACTGGTAATGGTTATCATAAAACGGCTATGTCATACGAGGCTCAACTGTTATTATATGTAACTTCTCCAAGAATTTTGAAATTGTCGAAGTCGTGTGGAGCGGGTGGTTGCGGTTGGGGAATTTTCAATCGATTTGAAATTCTCCAATCTCCAATTGTATATGAATCTGATGGATAATCGCGAATTCCCTCACGACTTCATGCGTGTGAGTGTATTCCTCTTTAGAGAAATCTGGAGTAACCTTTCGGTACGCTGAGCATACACCCAGTCGTGGAAAGTTCCTCGCCGAAGACCGCAAACTTCGGGCGTCCATTTTCATTGACTGGAGAATTCAAAACGGTGCCATTGACATCAACACGCATGTTGTTAACCGATTCGCAAACAAAACCATGAAAATTTATTTTTATGTTGATGACGTTGGAGGAAGCCTCGGTGACTATCATCTCACTGGTGTCCCGGAGGGATCTTATCATCGTTTGGAGTGGCCAACCGTGGATGAGTTTAATGTGGCTGAGTTGGTACAGTTGAGGAAACGTAAGAAACGTAAGAATGGCAAGATTTTGCCGGGATTTGATCTCGTGGATGGAGGAGCGGCGTGTGAGGGGCGGCGGCTGTGTGTGGGCCTTTGGGTGGTTGAAGTTGCTGAGAACGCCACGTTGGGGGTCCGGGTGGAATCGAAGGGAATTGTGGGGCTGGATGGCGAGGAGGAGGAGTATGGGGTGGCAGTGGGGAGGAGGTGGCCGGATTTGAAGAAGGAGATGTATCACACGGTGGCTAGTGTAGTTGGTGGAGTGGCGGATACGAGAGGAGGATTGGTGATGAAAGTAAGGGGTTGGGCTCGCATTGATAAGGTCGTCGGATCGAATCCCTAGTTGGACATCGAGTTTTCCCTTCTCACTCGAATCTGAGAAGTGAGGGATTTATGGTATCAGGATGGCCTCCCTGTGAACCACAGCCTCATTTCGATGGTGCCGAGCCGGTCCTTTTTCCCGAGAGGATTCCTCTGGGACGAGGGTTTCCATTTATTGCTTATGAAGGAGTGGGACTCGACCAGAGCCCTACAGGTTGGCATGAATATTCCCCCTCTTTTCCTCATGGTGAAGTAGATACTGCTTTCATGGTTGGGTATGCAAGACTACTCGAGTGGCTGGATACCCAGGGAGGCCGCTATTGGTCCACGACAACAGTCGAGGGTCCCTCCACAGTTCCTTCCTCAAGACCGCGCCATTGCTAACCCGCCGGCTCTGCTGTTCATCATAAGGAGCCTCCTGGCTGGCGGCTCGGATGATGGGAAATTCGAGACGGTGGAGTCGGTCGAAACGATTATGCGATTACTCGTGGCCCCGCATTTGGACGCCTGGTGGGAGATCTGAAATATTTTTGGGTGATAAGTTTACATCAGGTACGACTTTCTGGTCACCACCCAAGTATCGCCATTCTCGACCCCTTCCGTGAGGTGCCCTCGGTGGAAGGGCCGTACTGCTGCCCATAACCTCGCTAGTGGGCTGGATGATTACCCTCGAGGAGTTCTCGTTGGTAGGCCCCCCTCTCTAGTGGGAGGAGCACGAGTTGTTGCTATTCTCAGACGAAGGTTTGGAGTGCCATGTTGACCTGACGTCTTGGATGATCCTTTTCGCTGATACCATGCTGAGGATGAACAGCACTGCCGTTGGTGTTAGGTGGGGTCAGGCTAGGTGAAGGAAAGGAGGAATTGTTGCAGACCTGCGAGGTTCTGGTTGAGTGAGAAGGCACGTCTGCAGTCACTGTTGAGGACTGTGATGGTCGATGCTAAGGGGCGTTTCTCAGACCTCATAGGGAGGCAAATAGTAGAGAAAAGCAAAGGGTAGGTGCTTGGTCGAAGTCGTTGTAGCTGGATGGTCTCGTATTCAGTTCGATCCTATCTCGACCCCCGTGGGTGAGTCGTCATAGTGGGCAGTGTTCACCCATGGACGGTATAGAGTGTGACCCCTACAGTGATGCCCCGTGCTGCAGTCCCTCTGGTTGGTGTGGGGGTAGCCGTGACCATTGTGAGTGTGAAGGTTGCATAAAGTAGTCGCGCTCCTCTCTCCCCCTCCTCCTCACTGTGGAGTCGTCGTTCAGATACGTTCCCTTGGAGGAGAGGATGAAATACGACAAGGCATTCGCTCGGAAGTACACCGTTACTACTAAGCCAGTTCATTCACCTCATGTCGGTTACGTTACCATCTTTCCGCTAATTCTTGGCCTCCTCGACCCCATCAAGGACCGTCAACTTATCTTAAACTCCGTGGATGTGATCAGCAATGACATCCTAACGCCCTACGGTATTTCTTCTCTATCTAAGTCGGACCCCCTCTTCCGTATGGGGGAAGATTATTGGCGAGGGAAGATATGGGGTAACATAAATCTGCTGGCCATAGGAGCTCTTCGTCACTACGCCACAGTCATGGAAGCTTCTAATCTCTTTGAAACTGCTGAGAAGATTCGCGACAGATTCACGAGGGTTGTTGAGGAGGGTTTCAGGAAGAAAAAGAGTATCTATGAGAACTACGCCCCCGACACGGGGAAGCCTTCCGGGGCCGCGCCCTTCACTGGATGGACGGCTGTGGCCTACGTGTTGGCAAGTGAAGAGGATAACCGTTGGTGGGAAGAGGCCGTGGGTGGTATGAGTGTTGTTGATGTTAATCTTGCGGAACATATGAACGACGAATTGTAGTGGTTTCTTCGAGATGATTCAAAATGTTGAATTGATAGTAGGGACAGTTGCTATGCGTTATCGCATGGGTGATTGTACTACAGCGTGAACATCGCGCCACAGTGTGGCAAATGCTTCCTCACATCCCCTTTTCGCTCTATTTACATTGGCAGTGTGAGGTACTTCGTTTCGAATGGATAGTATCAAATCATTCTCCCTCACTCCCAACAATAATGTATACGCAACATATATGAGAATGCAGCGAAACAATCAAATTCCGCAGAGAATTAATAACATAACAATAATATGGTCCAAGCTCGTCCTCTTCACTTTTGGACTTTCCTCTTAATCTCCTCGAATAGCAGGTCGCCCTCATCATTGCATTGAATCTCTTGATAAACACCGTCCAGAGGTTTACGAATTGCGTCTTTAGAAGAAGCGAATCTAACAGGAAAAAGCTGTAACGCTACGGCAACGACGACAATGCTGACAGCATCTTCCTTTTAACGGGAGCGGTGTCGGGTGACCAAAAAATGAACAAGACCTTCTCTTGCTTCTGAAAATACAAAACATATTAAAGAATCGCATGCTAGACACTTACCGCTCCAGACTCGTCGTGTTCGAATTCAAAGTCTACCACAGCATAACGCGGCTCGTGACTGGCCAGAAGAGCCTGGTAATGCGGGGAATAGACGAAGGAGAATGATGGGAGGCCACACCCGTTTAAAGTCATCATAAGTCTTGTCTTTGGTACCCTCGGACTCGATGACGATCCGCTTGTTGTCCGGAGTGAACGCGTAGATGATATATCTGAGCATGCAATCTCGAGAGGGAAGCGGTTATCGGTGGTTACCTTTTGTCGTGCTTCAACTTGAGATTGTTGTAGCTGACTATGCAGTCACCATCAGCAACAACACCCGAACAGGCCATTGGAGACGACGGATCAATAACAAATTGAACTCAATGCAACCACATCGTCACTCGTCTCACCGATCTTGTAATCAAAATATATCACGAAAGGAAAAAATTGACTTTCGATAACAGGACGTCTAGTAAATGAGTAAAGAGAGTCACCGCCAACGTGAGGCGATAATAAAGGGTTAGTGTTACACCGATTCGGTGTGCCCAAACCTAAGTAACACTGCTAGAGCACTCACCCACTCTGAGGACTGCATCAGTGTAGGTGGGAACCTCGTGCGTAACGCAGAGGATCACGAGATACGGAATTCGGCGGGAGTGGTAGGAGCGCCGGTTACATTTAGGCGTGCGCGTAATTGCATCCTACCGCGCCCGCCCCTGGCGATGCGCAGATCTCGTAGGCGAATGATAGTCTTGAAGGTTTTAGATCTGGTTAGTGACAAGGGGTTCTTTCAAGAGATTATTGAATCTCGAGGAGCCCTTCTTTGAAGAGATTATTGAAATAGGCCTTTAAGGACTGTCAGAGAATCACTCTCATACCGGACAGCGAAATACGACTCTTTTGAGAATTCCCTTTGATGACCCCCTAAGGCCTCTGCGTGCCACAGCGATGTAGAGTGACATTCCAGTGGACGTCACCATAGCTGTGGCATCACTAGTCAGTCGGGCTTACCACTTTGTTCAATCATGTCGATGATATCCGTCGATAAAGAACTCACCCAGATATGAGACGGTTTATTATAAAAACACATTCATCATTATTGAATTGGACCCCTCTTTATGCCTGATTATGAATCCAACGGTCTGCATTGATAAACCCGTTACAATAGTGCTCCAAAGGCGTCTCAAAAATTAAGAGCGGCTCTGATCCTGGTAGTGTATCCTACTAGTCATAATCTCTCTGCCCATAGAAGAGTGGTTGCGGATTTTCTCTTGATATTGCGCGGTCGCCAGGGGTGCCAGGAGATGACGGAGTAGAGTAGAAGAGTAGTAGAGAGCTGGATCAAAGCTGTCAAAGCGTGGGACCAGACGTAGGGACTTCTACTCGATCCGAAGGTACCCCTGCTAAACCGCGGGTTGGCTCAGCCGGAATCCTCACCACGTAGTGTTCTCACTAACGTAGGAACCCAACATCACAATTAGATCTAATGGATTTGCTACTCAATCGCACTAGTGAGACCACTACATATAGACCAAGTGCTAGTCAAGCGAGATTACAACGTAAGAGCAACTGCTCCCAGTCGTAAACGACGCACGTTCACAGTCAAAGAGAGAACACGTAGCCACAGTAAGCTACGGTTGTCTAGTATCAATCTAGAACTCTAACTCTCAGATAGAACAGAGGTGTGCAATCAATCTCATCATCTTCAACGTGAGTGAAACGTCCAGCCGTTTCAACACCAAGATACGTTGCGAAGATACGCCATCATCTTGAGCACTTAAGTCGTCTTGGTATTCCTTTGCGCTTGCCTCGCGGCTCCGCGCATTGGCCACGGGAGACGTTGGCTTAAGTGGATCCCATCGTAATTGACGTATACACCCAACGTTCATAAGCTACAATGACGATCCCAAAAAGTAAAAAATGAACTAGTCTAATAGTCGTCATCTATCATCATCAACTACCATAGTCGTCTACATAATTCTTCTAGTCGTCTAAGTCGTTATACCATAGAACCTTGAAGTCGTCTACCAAAAAGCTAGTTGGTGTCGTTCTCGATCATAACGTAGTCACGATAGTAGACACGTTGCTCGGCCTGTCTTAGAGAGTCGAGACGTGCCTCTGCATCCACACTGTCGACGCTCAGTAGCTGAATAGCGTGTTCGTACTTGGCAAAGACGTCAGCCATAGACTCCCCTAGGTTCTGGTGCAAGTCGTGAACCACGTTAGTACAGTTGTTGGACTTAGCGTGATCGGACAACGTAGACAGAAACGTACCCTTATAGAGGCCAAGTAGACGTAGATACGTATAGTGAATACTCATAGGTATACGTTGACACCTACGGGCCCTCAGGTTAGCGTCGTGGGGTAGTGTAGGGACTCCGAGTACGTGACCAGTAGTACTAACGTCCCAACAACGTAGAGAAAAGCTGACCAGCCTATGCATCTTCTTACAGTAAAACCGACGTTGTAGTAGATGGCATACCCGTCGTGATCCCAAGTGCATGTACTTATAGTGATAGATAGTCGATAGGATCCTTATGAGGGCTGACGTATACTTGCTGTTACCAAGATAGATCACACCGTCGTCATCTTCTTCAGCATGGCGAAGTCGCTCCGGGCTAGGGTGACGTCTGACTATACCATGTTGGTCAACGTAACAAATACGAGCCAACCTTCTTAGTTTACCACCCTTCATGCCGAGTTCCTTGTAGGTGACCTTCTCAAGGAGAAGATTCTTGAAGTCCTTCAAGTCGTCGTCCAATTCTTGCGCACGTATTACGCAAGCACTGACACGGTCCTCGTAGTTACCATCCTGTAGTAGCTCTGGGTCGATCTCTTCCACGGGCTTGGCATAACGTGTGAGTTCACGTAGTTCTTCTTGTTGTTCAGTAGTAAAGGAGCCGTAGTTGGGTAGGTCAATACCGTCACAATTGAGAGTCATCACTAGAGCACCGACAGTTGAAGAGTTGGTTGTGGCGTTAGCCACGGGAGAAGTAGTAACCTCTTCTATCAGTTTAGCACCAGTGGTTGTTGTTGACGTATTCGTGGCGTTAGCCACGGGAGAAGTAGGAATACATTGGGTGTCCCTGCCGTTGGTGGTTGCAGTTGTTGGTTCCGTGGCGTTAGCCACGGGAGAAGTGGTGTATTGTGAGCAGGGTTCTTCATCGTTGGTCTCGACTATATTCTCAGCCATCTCGTCATCCGTAATCTCCCTATAGTCAAAAGCCACTTCGCTGACAGACATCGCCTTGCAGACGTGGGTACCGTCAATGACCTTGTCGTTGATCTTAGCTCGTGATATCGAGTCGGCATAGTTCAACTCAGAGGGTATGTGCTTGACGATAACGTCTAACTGGCGGCACATCTCTCTAATCTCCTTCAGTCTTCGTCGTTCAACGACAGGTAGCTTCTTGTCCCTACTGGGACGTCGTAACCGATATACCGTGATCTCACTGTCACATAGGAGAACGACT